CAGCTTTTACCCAATACTATTTCACCTTGGTTGCCTAGCCTTCTTGCTTTTAGGATAAACTTTCCTTCCTCCGTCGTTTTCAGCCAAGGTGGCGCCACTCTGGTGGTGCCACAAAACCACCCTTATATAATATACGCCTATATGTATATATATATATGTATCTATGTATATACATATAAATTATACTATGTAGTATACTATCATAAAGAGAATATAGAAGAAAAAAAAAGCAAATCAAAAAGGTTGTTGTAATAATAAATGTGCACATAATGATGAAAGTGATCTAATCGTAAATCATATATCTCTTCTTTCGAGATATTTAAAGGATTACATTTGAATTCTATGTAATATTAATATAACAAACGGTATCTAACGGTTCATTTTTTGACAACATATGGTGAAAATTATATTGAATTCATTTAGTTTAAAATAATGTAGTGTGAAATAAATGATAAATTCATATCGTTTGTTTTTAATTTTGACTTACCATAACACCACTTTCACAATTATGGGTTCAAACAAGAAGTAGTTGAAAGAGAGAGAGATAAAAAGAGCAAAGTTTTTCATTTAAAAGAAGTTAACCGATGACTCGTCATAAGATTACTTAGCAAAGGCTGGTACATATAAGTTAGGTACACACCTATGCGCCTTAAGGTTTACTCTGCGCGCGCGCGCGTGCGTCATAGGACGAACCTGGAGGCGGTGGCTATGGTGAAAAAGGACGACGATTCCCTACGACCAGGACGAGGAGGAGTGGGAGGAAAAACGGGGAAGAAAGGGAGTGGACTATCACTACTACTACTAATACTACTACTACTACATTTATTATAATATTTATTTGACCCTTGCCCTATTAACATTTATACAAGCATAGTAGTATAACCCTCTATATACGCACAAGTATGCTAATAATAAAATAAATAAAAAAAATGAAGAAGAAAATTCAAATAAATTTTCATCGGTGAACGAACCAAGAAACTCCTCGCCCCATTCCAAAGAAAGAAAAGAAAAAAAGAAGAAAAAAATAACGGAGAAACGAAAATGATTAGGGATTAGCATTTGCATGCATTTTTAAATTCATTATATATGTTACCGTCGAAGCCGCAAAATCAGTCATTGCTAGTAATTACTCGGCATTGTTATCAATGCAAAGATAAAACTTTTTACAAAGTTTTTCCTAGGCATCGAAAATAATACTTTGATATCATAGAGAATATCAAATGACTATTTAAACAACTTTAACAAAAATATCAAAGATTGCAATGCTATTAATTGTACAACTTTGCTATTTCTTTGAAAAGTTTTGGTAAATATTTTTTATACTTAACAGTGAATAGATTTTAATGAAACTTATATTAAATTAATTTCTTGGTTCATTCACCGATGAAAATTTATTTGAATTTTCTTCTTCATTTTTTTATTTTTATTTTATTATATATATATAATTATTATACGCAATAATTCAGATTTCTTGATTTACGAATGTCCAATTAGGTAAGGAAAAAAAAAAAATACACGCGCAATGTACCAATCAAAATAATATAATACTATACTAAAGAAAGTGTGAGAGAGAGAGAGAGAGAGAGAGAGAGAGAGAGAGAGAGAGAGAGAGAGAGAGAGAGAGAGAGAGGATGATATCGAAATGGATGGATACATAGGTCAAGAAGTTCACACGAATGAGAAGCTTCGATGCCGATAATCGAGAGATTCAGGAATGGAGTTGACGAGAGTTCGGAGTAGCAATGAATAAAGATCCCCCAAGAGAAAAAGAGAAAAAGAAAAAGAAAGAAAAAAAAAAAATACGAGAAAGACGGGGAACGTGGTGGTATAGCAGTCGCCATTACGGTGTCGGCAATCGGCTCGGCACAAAGTGGAAATAATTAGCGTTGGACCAAGTGATAAGCTCTAATCTAAGAGTTTGTCATTAGCCTATCAAACGAATATTACTCCCTCCCTTTTCTCTCGCACATATAGCTATCTTTATCTCTCTCTCTCTCTCTCTCTCGTTTATTTTAATGTATCTCTCCTTCTATCTTTTTCTCTCTCTCTCTCTCTCTCTCTTTCTCTCTCTCTCTGTCTCTCACATTTCTATCTTTTCATATCCTTCCTTTTTCATGTATTTATCTTTCCCTCTCGTTTATTTATACATATTCTCATTTATATATTTCGATCTTTTTTTTTTTGTTTTTCACGCGTACTCCACTTTTCGTCTATTTATTTATATTTCTATCATTCTTTTTGAGGAAAGGTACATTATTTATTTGTTTTTCTTTTTATTTATATTCGTCGAAAAAAAGATAGAAAATAAAAAAATCCGTCGCGTTTAAGGGTTTTTGAGTTGAAAAAAAAAATGTTCCATGCGCAAATTTGTCTTTGGCACGGCCTACATCGTCGACGATTTCTCAACCGATGTGAGATGAAAGAAAATATGTGCGGTGAGGGGAGGGGAGGGGAGGGGGCAGAACGACGATCGGAGCAATTAGTATTTCTTATTTCGAGGCTAATCTACTCGCGTTGAATTTTGCCGGGTCACGAAAGTCAGAGAAACAGAAAGATATAGTATACGTAAAGAGAAAATAAATATATAAAAGTAGTAAGTAAACGTCGTTGAAACGAAAAGAAGAAGAAGAAGAAGAAGAAGAGATGGAAGGTGGATAAAAGTACAAGGAAGACAGAGAAAGGAAAAAAGATAGATAAAAGGTTGTGAAAGACGTACGGAAAGAGAGAGAGAGAGAGAGAAAGAGAGAGAAAATCTCAAACTGTCCAACGTATATATCGTTGCCACGTGAATTGACCGGCCAGATAAAAGCACACGAGAGAGGACGGAAAAGAAGGTAAAAGAGAGTGAGTGAGAGAGAGAGAGAGAGAAAGGGAAAAAAGTGAGAGAAAAGTATGGACCGACACAGAAGCCGACGCTGCTAATGACTCTGTCCGCGGTAATCTCTGGGTGTTATCTGTCCTGGCTACCTGGGGCCCACCTACTTTGAATCACGAACCTGTACGAACCATGCCACTACTCTTTCTATCTCTCTCTCTCTTTCTATTTCCATCTCTTTCTGTCTTATTCTCCATCGGTTGTGCTTCTCTTTAGTACAGAAGTCTTCTCTCTCTCTCTCTCTCTCTCTCTTTGCTTCTTCTTTTTCTTCTTATTCTTTTTATTCTCTCTTTGAGAAAAGGTTCACCAACGTGGGAACCGACTAAAGATCATGGAAAATGAACCATTCTCTTTCGGATCGATTTCAAATGATCTATCTAACGTTTTGTAATACACCAGATTGTCTTAGAATGATTTTCGAATGAATTTTTATTTCATACTTTTAATTATTTTCGATACATAGGGGTAGAATTGCGACCGTGAATTTAATTACGAAATATATTAGGCAAATATATATATATATATGCGGAAAGTGATAAAGAAATAAATTTGAAAAACAAATTGAATAAATTAAAAGTGTCTACTATAATGTTGGAAAAGAAATGTCGAAGAGAAATATTTCTTGTAACAATAGGAGAGCCAAATTGACGACACTGATTTTTTTGTTTTTAAATCTACACAATTGTAGAGGTCTACTATGCACACGGTAAAACCCAATATTCAATAATTTCTAAGAAAACTAAAGGAAAAGTTTCACACGCATTCTTATTATAATATAACAATTTCTTTCCTGTTAGATAGATAAATAAATTTTGTACAATTTAATTCCAAAAATGATAGAAATTATAAAAGAAATATATATGAGTGAGTGTTGAAAAATTTTTAGCCTAATACGCGGTATGGAAAAAAATCATAAATCTAAACAATTTTTTATTTTGTATATTTTTTCGATAATTTTTCGAATTGAATTGTGTACAAAATTTATCTTTTCATCGAAAACGAATTGGTATATGAGAATGCACGTGACACTTTTTCGGAAACTTTTAAAAAAAAACGAAGGAGTATTAAAATTTACTGTGTACACCTTGTATTATCCTGATGGACCCTTACAACTGTGAAAAAATTTAGAAAAAATGATTGTCTTGTCAACTTGACTGACACTCTCTCCCTTTGTAAGATTCGGATCGATGAAGATTTATAGCTAGTTCGAAACTCATAGGAATAAGAAATATTGTGGGAAGTACTTCGATAGCACGTAATGTAACACACACGCAATCACACACACACACACACATACACGATTGCTTTATTATTTATTCACTTGCCCATTAAGCACCTTAAGCTTATTGATCTTCTATTATCTAAGTTCTCGTCTTAGATATTTATCTATTTATCTGTCTATCTATCTATCTCTTTATTCATTTTTTTTTAAGTATACTCACACGTCGATTTCACCTGAACGATTTGCAAATGCATATCGGCAATATTTGCGAGTGGAAAGATTTATTAAACTAATTTTTATTGCATGAAGTAGCCTGTTTTATTCTATAATTTTTTTATCTTTCTTAATTGTTCGCATGTACGAAAAAAAAAGAAGATACATTGTTCAAATATTTTCTATCGTTAATTTTCTTTTTATTATCTACGAGACTGCGTGCTCTTTTTTTTTTATCAATATATTTTTATATACAATCGAACGTCGATCATAATTCATAAATTTCTACAATAAGTAATCAATCAAATATTGTTTCTTACAAATAATAATTCGTATCGATTTGAAAACAATTTCGATTAATTAATTAATACGATATATCAATATACTATATACATATATATATATATTCTTTCGATAACAAACAAAAATGTATTATCAAAAATTAATGTTTACATTTAATAACAATAATTAATAACAAATAATCCAGAAATCAATTAAACGAATGAATTAAACAATTAACAAATCGACGTTCTATTGTTAATTAAAAGAAGAAGAAGAAGAACAAAAAAAAAAACCAAATAAAAAAGTATTACTATTGACATTTTTTTAGTAATGAATTTATTCGTTCGATTATAAATTGGTATAAAAAATAGTCTGTCCCAATGTATGCTCCCTTTCTTTTTATTCCAGACGATATTGAATTCTATGCACAAATACCAACCGAGGTTTCATCTAGTACGAGCCAATGACATCTTGAAGCTTCCCTACTCGACGTTCAGGAGTTATGTTTTCAAGGAGACAGAATTCATTGCCGTGACGGCATATCAAAACGAAAAGGTGAGTGAACCTCGGTTTCCTTTTCTCGTTTATACGAGATAGAGAGAGAAAGAGATAGAGAGATAGATAGAGGTCATCGACTGATTAGAAAACTCTCGGTCTCCCTCCTTTACGATACTTTACAAATAAGTGTATTGTATAAACGTTTATATATTTCTTAAATAAAATGATTTATAATCTCAACGTGTTTTCCTTTTCTTTCTTTTTTTCTTTTTTTTTTTTTCATAATAAATCAAGATTTTTTTACAATATATTATATTTTAACGCAATAATTCATTTAATATTTAATACTCGTATATATGATTGTATCCATATTTTTTTTTTTTATTTATAATATCTCTTTTTTCTTTTTAATATATATATAATATACGCGAGTCCCGACTACTATCGATGAGAATTCGATATTTATTCATTTATAAACATTTTAATATATATTTTTCTTGTTTATCATTTGTATGACTTCTCTTCATTAAAGTTTTCTACGATATCGATATCTTTCTCTCTCTTTTTTTCTCTCTCTCTCTCTCACTCTGTCTCTCTTGCGCGCGTCACGTCAATTTGTCATTTGGTATTTACTTGAAAAATAAATGCTCGCTGTCTATTTCATTGGCCTGGTAAGTTCGATTCATAAAATCTGCAATAGCGATATTATCGTTTGTGGACTCGTTATTAAAAATGTACATTACCTTTTGTTTCTTAATTGATTTATTCTCTTGTGGGGGGTTTTTCGTATCGATAAACGAATCATTTATTATTCATTGTGTTTTATTAATCCTAAGATGTTTTTGATAATGCATATTCACCTTCCCATGAATATCGTAATTAGATATTAGACTTATACAACAACAAATAGATCATTTTTCTAATTCAACAAATTGAAATAAAACTCATATTAATATTTTTTCCATTACGTTTGTTTTCAGATAACTCAACTGAAGATCGATAACAATCCGTTTGCGAAAGGATTCCGAGACACTGGTGCGGGGAAACGAGAAAAAAAGTGAGTATCGCTTTCAAAATTTTGTCCCTTTTATTATTATATAATATAGATCATTGTTAAAATTATATAATATTATTTAATTATAATTTAACAATACACGCGTACGTGTGTAAGCTAGAAATAATAAAAATATCCTATCACATATAAATATATAGTTCAAATTAATTATTCAAAATATAATTAATATAAATAATATATAAAAAATATATATTAAAATATAAATAATATATATTTTCCAATATAATTTATCTCGTTGATATTTTTATTATAAACAAAAAAACGTGCGTGGAATGGAAAGTACAAAGTTTTGATGGAAATTTTTTTTGCTTACTCGACTAATTCTTTTTTCCACCTTTACTTGGTGAGACAATTTTTGTGGACTCTCTATCTTTTCTTTTTTTTTTTTTTTGTTGGCAACGTTTGACAAAGAAGCAAGTAATACAGGCCCGATGACGAGGTACGCGTCTCGACCTAATTGATCGTGGACCTTTTTGGCTTCCCCTCGATCAGTACCATTATCCCGACCTTAGGGTCACCCTCGGAGCTCTAAGGGTTGCTTGCTTGCTTGCTTGCTTTCACGGGCCTCATTTGCACCCCGTATAGCCTAGCAGAAGCGTCCATTTGTATTCAATATTGCGGCTTTATGAGCTTATGACAGTGAGACCACCCCCTGAGGGATGTTACTGAGAAGGATAGACGAACAAAAAGAGAGAGAGAGAGAGTGAGAGAGATAGAGAGAGAAATAGTTTTGGTTTGCTCGCCTTGCCACCAAAGGCCCATTTCAATTTTCATCTCGGTAACACAGGGGTGAAAACTCAAGTGGATTTTGATGAAGTTAACTTTCCTATGCATACGATTCTATGTTAGTTTGAGTACTTTATATCTATATATGTATAACCTGTACAATTAGAAAGAGTAGTACAATGATTGATATAATATTAATTTGAAGATTAACCTAAGCCCCAACTTCAAATGATTCGGTCATGAATTAAAGACCTTAAAGGACTTCAAACTTGAACCAACTGGAAGAGAATCTTTAGAACAAAGTTGGAAAGGTTGAAGTTAACCAGAATCTATGGGAAAAAGTGCAACTCTTGGTTTCTCTCTCTCTCTCTCTCTCTCTCTCTCTTTCTCTATGTCGGTCTCTTTTTGACACTGAAGAAAAAGAGAAAATTTCTCATGGAAAATGAAGAGAGAAGCAGGTTGGTGCTAGTGCTGGTGGTGCTGCTGCTAGAGCTCGAACGGATAAAGAAAGGGCGAGGTTAATCGAGAAAATATGCAAAGTAGGGGGCGCGTCGTGGCAACGGCTAATTAGAATAAGGGTTAGTTTTGGCTTATGGTTTCGGTTAAGAGTGGTTGGATGCCATCGGGAAGCCACAGAGGGAGCTGGGGATGCTGTGAACACGAAAGCGAGAGAGATGTATTAAAAGAAACTTCGGGGAAGGAGAGAGGATGAAGAGGAAGGGAAGGGAAGGGAGGGAGGGAGGGAGGGAATGGACAGAGATGAACCGCAAAACAGAGTTAGAGAGAGAGAGAGAGAGAAAGTTCGGGGTTGGAACATAGCCAATCATCGGATTAGCATACTGATGCTCAGGGGCGGCGCTGTCGTTAATGTGGAGGGTGCCACTTGGTGGCTTTGAATTTTATATCCTCGCTGCAGGTCGTAACGCGGGATACAAAGAACGTCTTCTAAGGGTAGACGACGACGACGACGACGAAGAGTTTCTATGGTTTTGTTGCCGTTACTCGTCAATCGTTTTCCCGAACACGTACGTGGGACCCCCTGAAGTTTACTTTCAACTTCTAGAACTACGTGAGAGACTTTATTTTTCCTTCAACGAGACCTAATGATAATCAAGCTTTTCCATTTTGTTAGATTTCGAGGGTTCTATTCGTTCGAGAATAACTCTTGTTAAATATATTTTATTGTTATGGCAAAATACGTGCTCGGTCGGATTTCGTTTAATTCAATGTTACGTTTGTTATTTAGGAATCTTAATTCATTGTGTAATGTAATAGGGACGTGTTTAATTTCATCAAGTATTATTATTGTTGTAGTTGTTCTTCTTCTTAGATTCTTCTTTCTTTTAAAGTTAATAATATGAATATTCGTTAAGTTGTGTGTCAAGTATGACGAGTCAGTTTGTGTGTTCGCAGGAACACCAGGTGTAGTTTAAACCTGTAACGAGTCGATTCGATGCGCCGGTTAAAAAGTAAACGTCTTCCTTTATTCGATGATAAAACACTTTTTTCCCTTTTGATTTATTATTACCATGTCCAACGTAATAACCGTAAGGATTACTTACGATGAGAGAAATAATATCGAAATGATATGAAAATATTTGATAATGTCAAGTATTATAATCGCGAAGATTTTCAATTGAATAATTATTACTTGAAATTTCGTAAAATATAAACTCGAGTTTGTCTGTCTCTGTCTGTTAAAAATTTTGTCAAAAAAAAAAAAGAAAAGAATTCTCTTTCTTCCTTAACTTTTTTTATCCTTTTAATCTCTATTTCTAAAGTCACTAGACCACGAATAAAACACACGCGTGGAAGAACGGGAAACGTTGCGTAATTTAAAATTCAAGGTACCACGGCTTCGACAGTAACAGTAACAGCAGCAGCAGGATAAGGGATGAGTAGGAAAGTGGGAGGAGAAAAAGGGAAAGAGAGAATTCACGGTTGTGGCCTTTCTCCACCCACGCGACATCACCTAATCCAAGGTTGACTGTGGGGTTCCCTGGGATCACTTTGAGTCGCTTCCGATCTCTCTATTCTCTACTTTTGTCGGGGTTAAAACGAGTACGGAGTGTGTTAGCCATCTCTCGTCCCCCACCGAGGGTTCATCACAGTGCAAACGAGAGGGGGGTGGGGGTTCAACCCAGAGTAGTAGGAGGGCTGATGGACGGGGTGGTCGACTCACCGATGGGGTGATTATAATTCCGTGCAAAGAGACGACGACGAGACGAGGATGATGTAAAAGAACAGAGAAAATGAGTGAGAGAGAGAGAGACAAGATGATGATGATACTAACAGCTCGAATCGAACGAGAGTCCTGTCAAAGGCAACGCCAAGCTGAGTTTTCATTTTGTCTGACGCGAAAGAACGAACTTGAGTACTCAGGAGAAGAAGAAGAGGAAGAGAAAGAGGAAAAAAGAATGCATCATCTCGTTGACGTAGGCGGGATCAACCTGGGTCACATCATTATCACCATGTTATATCAGAAATGATGATAAAGGTCATCATGATTATTGTTACGTATCGCTATCAAACCAGTTTCAATAATTTTTACATTCGTTTCGTCCTCTATTAAAATAAAAATAATCGATATATATATATATATATATATATATATGAGTTATTTAAAAAAGATTTACAACACATTAGAGACTAATAACGACATTTTTCTATTGATTAACATGTTTTTTTTCAGATGCTTTTATCGATATTCTTAAGTCGTCTTAAGGATTAAGAAATATTAATAATCAATTTTCGTGCATAAAAATAAATACTTTTGACGACGAGTAATTATGTTTCTATAAAGAAAAAAAAACGTGGAGTAATGTTAAGGGTTTTACTTATCGGTGGATTCTATCCTGTTTACATGTCTCACTATTGATTTATCACACGTACGTCTGAAACCAAAGAGTGCACACACCGTCTCGGTTGCATCTGGCTCGTATAATGAATACACACCCATACACGTGGACGAATAGATATGTGCATTTGTTCACTGATCGCATTACACGGCATTAGGGTATCGTTAAGCCTCTCGTTGTGTCCAGTCTGTGTTAGTCTTCTATCTGGGACTTACAACGAAGATTAAATTTGTCCAAACTATTACAGAAAATGCATTGATTAATTTCCCCACAAAACATATTATAACTCTTCAATTCTATCCAATTAATGTGTGGCTTTCTTTTTTTTGCTTCGTCATAAATTTAGAATAAATTATTTTGTTTATTATAATTATACGATTTATCGTATTTCTTCATCAATATATTTATTTCGTATCATCGTTTAATTTCTTACACATTAAATTAAAAATTAAAAGAATATAATATAATTTTGTGTTCGTTAGATAAGTGGTGTATCAAATAAATATCTAATCTAATAAGAAAAAATCAATTATATAATAATAAAAATACAATAAAACGTAATCACGATTAGTTAATTATTGGAATGTGTTTTTCCAATGATTTCTAGTGAACGGATTAGATCGATTTGCGAGGGCAAAGTAACTCGAACACTTTGAAGGCTATCTATCTCTCAGCTCTGGGCCAAGGTCACTCACTTTCGTCCTCTCTTTCAAAATAAAAAAAAAAAAAAAAGAAAAAACTATCGTTCTCATTCAATCGATCATTCTTCTTTACTATCTTCTGTATCTCGTGCTAGAATTCTCTGTCACTCTCTCTCTCTCTCTCTCTCTCACACACTCTCTCTCACACTCTCTGGTAATGTTCTCACCTCCTTCCCTTCTAATACCAGGTATTAGTGTGTACAACAAATCTTATTAGGTAACAGTAAGGCATCATCGATCTATCGAAACATACCTCTACGATACTTCTTTCCTTTTTAACATGAATCTATTTTTTTTATTTTTTATTATTATTCTTCGATAATTATTCTAAAATGTTTGACTTATTTTTCTTTTTTTTTTTTTTTATTTCTCTACGACACACGAGAGTTCCGAATCGATTTAAACGAGAAGCGGGTTCTAATCGTCTTAAGAGTAGAATAATTGCGGTGATTGCCGAGGACACACACAGTCGACTACTTTACTTATAATTTCAAAGGTTTGAAACATGTTTGTAACGATTCATAGCAAGAGATTTCTCTTCGCAAAGTAGTCTAATTAGAAACAGAGAAAGAGAGAGAGAGAGAGAGAGAGAGAGAGAGAGAGAGAGAGAGAGAGAGAGATGGAGAAGTATTTGCGAGTTAGGAAATTATATTTAATCGTTGGGAATCAGAGAGAGGATTAAAATTAGAGAGAGAGAGAGAGAGAGAGAGAGAGAGTAGTTTACTCTCTGATTGGCGAAACTAGACAACGAGACTAATTTCGTGTCAACCTTTGACAACTATCAATGATCGGGTTCTCCTCTGCATTTAACATAGATACAAAATTAGAAAGTCAATAGGTACATAAAATAGACTATTAATAAATTGAACTTTCTCTCTCGAGTCAAATGTAATTCTTTTGCAATGACAAAACAAAATAAAAAAACAAACAAATGTGTGAGAGTTCATTTTAATTTGTCATTTTTTTTTTTGTAAATTATTAACACTCGCATGTGTCATTTTGTTGGTATCGCGATTGTAAATGAATGTGGCATGTAAAAATATTATATAAATCGATTGGTCTTAAAATAAAACAACACTTGTCCAAGCATTTCTCTATCTAATTCAATATTTCTAATTGAATAATAGTAACTCGTTTTAGAATCGATCGAGTTTGATGAGATTTATTTACAAGGTGCGAAAATACGTATATATAAATAAATACATAGCAATATATATATTATGTATATGAATATAATCTTCGTAGAAATGATTTAGAATTAGATTTTAATCGAAATATCTTTCAAATATATAAATGACATTAGATTGTTTAATAATAATCTACTTTTTTCTCGCTCCTGATCGATCAGATCTACTGAAACAAAACTATCCATACTTAAATGGTATTTCCAACGTGTTCAACGAACAATCTAACTTTTCTAAGAATTAGAACGCACTCACGCATGATTTGTAAAACGATCGCGCAACGGTTTCGCAGTTACAGAAGTCCGCTCCACACCACACCACACAACACCACACCACACCACGGATCATGGGAAATTTATTATACCACACTCTTGCACCGACTATAATTCATGCCAGGGGATAGAAAGAGATACCAGTTTTCTATATAAGCGATAGTTTCCCAGCCAACCAACAGTGATACTAACTCACAATCATACTTAGAATCGAGCCTTCCAATTCCTTTCCACCGAACGTTACGTGTTTCCAACATAGAAATAGATACAAACGTTCTATAGGGTGGCTCATTTAATCTCTCCCAAATCACATTTTTTCTACAACAGCAAATGATTATATTTATTTTAATATAATGTAGACACACACACACAAAATATTTAATTTTATATTGAAATTGTTATATATATATTTAAAAAGAAATACAAAATTGTGTTAATGGACGTTAGTAACGTTTCACGTGGACCACCTTATATGTATATACATGTGTTCACGCGAAGAAAGAGAAAGATAGATAGATAGTAGCTTAGAAAAGACTATCTATGTATTTACACATGCGCGTAACGTACCCGTTTCACGTTTCTAACTAAAAGAATTTTCTCTTCATAGACCCGAAGTGAGTTAAACGTGGTCTCGCAGTAGACCGGCCGATCGAACCTTCGACTTCTACTACTCACCATCTTTCTATAAATCGTTTCTCTTTAAACGTCACACGCATACTCTCGAGACATATACGTTTCCGCGTATATTAGGATTACTTTTCGATCAACGTAAAAGGAATAGTTTTTAATTAGGATCAATGTATAGACATTTCTTAATGTAAGAACAAATGTTATTACATAAATATATCAAATGAAAGAGAAAGAAAAGAAAAAATATATATATTATGTGTGTGTGTGTGTGAATGTGCATTAGGATTATTATCGTGAAGAGGACGAGGACAATCTTTTACACTTGGAAAAGGCGTCGAAGGTGCAATTAAGATAATTAATTTAATAGCACAAGAGCGCGCACGCCTCGGGGCTATACGCTTACTCGGCACTCGCATAAATCGCATCGTAGAGAGTAGAATCATCAACAACGAGTATACCACCAATCTGTGTACGTTAAAGAGACAACCTTTATAATGCTCTTAACGCGGTACACGTACGTATCTATGTGAAAGAGAAAGATAGGGAATGATGAATTATCGTCTCGGTGACTCGTCGGGATCTTTTGATTTCATGCGACGCGGCTTCGCGATCGCAAGGAATTTCTCGGTCGAGGTCGACCGAACCCCGATAGCACCTTCCGATCGTTTAGCTGGAAAATCCGTGTCAAGTCAACCAGTATCTCCTCTTTCTTCTTTTTTTTTGCATTTGCAATTGCGACGAGAAATAAACGAACTAACTCAATTCGAAACTAACTATCATTTAGATCTTAACACCTTACTGACCGATCGCCTATTAATCGGCTTTTTTTATTGCCAACGCTTACCGAACAATCGCTTTTGTTGCATTGTTGTTATCAACATTTTATTAAATTAAATTATCCTATCCTGTAATGTGCTGTATATCCTAATATATCCTGTAATAACAGAAAGCGGAAAATTTTCTCTGAGCATATGAAACGCACAGATACTCCCGTGCGTTAGTGTAGGCCGAAAAACAGTGGTCGTTTGAGAGTATCTGCGGCTGAGCGGCCGGTCAGTAAAGTGTTAAGTAATATACATAAAAAAAAATTTCGATAATTATCGCAGGGTGTTTTTTTTTTTTAAAAAGATTGCTAACTCCATCTCTTTGTTGCAGAAGGCAGGCGCTGTTGACGGTATCGGGAGGCGGTTCTCGTTTGACGTCGGGTGGTCCAGCATCTCCAGAGAAACGGCGTTCGTCCAACTCGGCGAACGATTTGTTGGATGACGAGGATAAATTATTGGACGTGGTAGGTCCGGAGACGCCGCATCCGGCTCATCATCATAGAGAACGCGAACAATCTCGGGAAAGGGACGATAGAACGAGCGAGAGAGGAGAAGGTAGCGAATCGTCGGGTTCCGAGAGCGGCGGAGTTTCGGGAGGAGCTGCAGGATCGGAAGGGCCGCGCCCGGACGTGTCGGTGGGCCCACCTTTGCACCCGCCATTACTACCGTACCTCTATCCACCTGTGCCAGGATTATATCCAGGTCCTGGTCCGTTAATACCGCCTAGTCCATTGGGTCTACACGGTGGAGTTACCCCAAGTATGTTGTTCAACGCTCAGCTGGCTTTGGCAGCTTCGCAGCATCCAGCCCTATTTGCTCATTACCCGCATCCCTTGGCCAGTCCGTTACATCAATTGAAAGGACATAGATTTGCACCGTATACATTACCAGCGCCATCCCATGGCTCGGCATTCGAAACTGTTACACCCGGGAGTAGGAATCTCAGCCCAAGATCCCCACCACCGAGGCCATCTACGGGTTCTCCAACGCCTACCGGTGGTCCGGCTACGGTATCGGCAAATACCGGCGGCCCAACCTTAGGTTCCACAACTTCGGGATCCGCCACCGAATTAAAATCTATCGAGAACATGGTTAACGGTCTACAAGACAAAAGGAGAAGAAGTCCGAGCTTAACGCCCGGGCACCGTGGCGACGGGGAAACCGGCGGCGGAGGGAGTCCGTGACAGGAGAACGAGCCCGTAACCAGCACAAACGACGATCCGGAGGATCCCGATTTGGATCCTGATCTGGATCCCGACGATGATGGCTCCCTCGATCTCGACGATCCGTCCGCCGACGAGAGGGAACCTGACTCGACCTCGGAACCCTCGTAGCGAGAGGAACCTTCGTCTCTCCGATATTCGAAAGATGCTCGAACTCTTAATCGTTCTTCTCTCGATAATTTACTCTCACCAAATCGTTATTGTTGTCTCGTTCTTATCCTCATCCGTCATCCGTGTGAAGTTGCTTACGCAAGTGGACGTATTTTAATTAAAGCAACAGCAACAACAACAAAAATGATCTATCAAAACTATTAAAGTGCAATTTTCTTTCTCTAATAGGGTGATTGAGGATAAGAGAGGATGAGAATCTAAAAGAGAAAGAGAGATAGAGAGAGAAAGCGTCCTCTTCATCGTTTATCCTTTTTCTTCACCTTTCTTCTTTACTTCCTCTATTTGTTCTCTCTCTCTATCAATCTTTCTCTCTCTCATCTCTCTCTCTCTCTCTCTCTCTCTCTCTCTCTGTCCCTCTGTTTTTTTTTTTTCGAAAAACATTTTCGATTTAACGGGAGGAAGGAGGACGATTCGTGAAAATGGCGCCACCGTCGTCATCGTCGTCGTGTATCGATTGGCCGAGCGATCGTGTGAGCTTGCAAGAGGAGGGAAGGAGAGGAGGAAGGATAAGAGAGACAGTGAGAGAAGGAGAAGGTACGATATACGCGATGAGCTTTTGAGCTTCACAAGAAAAAAGGCTTTGGAAAGGAAAAAAAAAAAAGAGAGTGAGAGAGTGAGAGCGAATGAGAATGAGAATGAGAATGAGAAATAAAAATTATGAATGAAAGATTGAATAAGAAGATAAATATATCTCTGTGGAATGCTCGTGAGATTTTGCAATACGAAAAAAAAAAAACAAAAAAAGCACATCCTAATTATTATTTGCGAATGTCCCGCGCCCTTTGTACATATGTACCCTAGTGATATTATATATTATATATTATATTATATTATATATATATATATATATATATGGGTACAGACACACAACACACACACACACATATATATATACATATATGTATATATAAATATAAATTATGCCTCTATCCCCCCTCCCCTCTTTACTCTGTATTAATTATTATTGAATATATTAATTATATGAATGATTAGAAGAAGAGAAATCGTTGGGAAAACAAAATGTGAACAAAATGAAGAAAAAAGAAAAAGAAAAGAAAAGAAACAAACAAACAAACAAAGCCAAGTGACGAGGAGTAAAAGAAAATGGATCACGAACACCCACGCCATCGCCATCGCCATCGCCATCTTTTTGACGTTGATTCGTCAAATTTCGTTCGAGGCTTGACACGGTATAGTGTGTATATATATATAATATATTTGTATATGTATGTATTATTCGCATACATATATATGATATATCGACAAAACAAGAAACGCGCGGCCGATTGTTCGTACCGATTTACCGATGATCACCAATCTCACGTTTTCTTCCCGTTATATATTCGCAATCCGTCAATCATTTATCTCAAATTTTATCTCAAATTTTATCTCAAATTTTAATCTGAAATTTATCAATACGAATGTGCGAATAAGTTTTGTGCTAAATTCTAATTAGAAACCGATTAACGGGATAAAACGGGAGAAAAAATAAATTGGTAAACGACGACGAGGCTTCCTCGGTTTGAAAATGCGCAAGAAGAAGGATCTATAAGGATCTATGGGATCCATAGGGGGATCGTTCTCCTTACGCCCTATGTTTTACAAGTTTAAAGAAACAAAAAACAAAAAAAATACTATTATACAAAATAAATGATAACAAAAAAAAAATGCGAATACACATACTCGTACACACACACGCGCACACAAACACATAACCACACCACCACACACACACATATACGCGCGCGCGCGATACAAATAATGGACAACGTTTTTCTCTCTCGAAAACTTTTAATCGTAGACACCGATCGGATTTAGATTCGTCGTATTGTTTCGATGACGTCGTTAAGGAAAATGTCAAATTCATATTTTTTTCTTGTTGACATTTTTAACATTATAAAAAAAATATTCTCTATTTTGATTTTTAATTTTCCTTTCGCGATTCGTATCTCGTTGTTACTTTTTGTAATTTTTCGTCTATTTTTCTCTCGCTTCCTCCTTCTTTTTCTTTTTTTTTTTTTCTTTTTTTGTAATAAACTATTTCGAAAATTACGATGAATCCAAGCCGAAGCTAAGAACTTTGTATAAATAGTAAACAATTGATGTAGATAATTATCAAGTATGTAATGATAGGAAATGAAATGGGTCAAGAAAAAAGCTTTTCGAAAGAAGCTACACACAAATCGTTATGAAAAAAAAAAAAAAAATAAAAAATAAAAAAATAAAAATGGGAAAAAATAGGAGAGAACATCGGGATTTGGCCATTGATTAGAAACGACAAAAAAAAAAAAAAAAAAAAAAAGGAATTATTATAGAAAAAAGAAAACGGGGGAGAAGGAAAATAGAAGATTAAGAAATAAAGCAGAAAGCAAAACGATTAAACGGAAACATTTGTTTTTATTTTGTATGACACGTAGATCGATGGGAGCCAAGATAATCGATCGATCGATCAATAGATCATTCTATAATTATGTTAAAAAGAAAACAAAAAAAAACAAAAAAAAAGAAACCAAGAAAAACAAGCAAAGGTTAGATTAATTAATGAAATCAAAACGATCTTCGTCTCTCTTCTACGTTTTATTCCACCCCACCGCCCCCCCCTCTGCCCCACCATCCCCATACAAGAACATACAATACACAAAAGAAGACATCTAACAAATTTTTGTCTTTGTTCAATGATTTCGCGAATCGATATTGATTTTTATCCTCCGATTAAGATCCATAGGAAATAAACGTATATTCGTTGCGTGTGCGAGCACCATCGTTGTAAAAGTGTACCTATTTACACACACCTAACTGTGAAAAAAATTCGATTAAATCAGACTACAACAAAGTCAAATAATAATCTATCCCATAAAAATGTCTATTTTTAAGGAACAAAAAAGATGGCGATTCTCATGAATTTTTCGAGAACAAAAGTACACGAAAATTTAATTTAAAATCAGGAGTAGAGAAAGAAAAAGAGCGAGAGAGTGAGAGAGAGAGAGAAAAAGAGAGAGAGAGAGAGAGAGAGAGAAAGAGAGAGAGAACAAAAGTACCTAAATAATTTTAATTTACCCATTTCCTCTCTCTCTCTCTCTCTCTCTCTCTCTCTTTCTCTTTCTCTTTCTATCTCTGTCCCTCTCTTCTCTCTTTTCAATTAAAAATGTTCAACGATATGTTTCCTAAAATCAATTTTCGGTATACAAAACGACGTAGTTGTATTGAAAAGAGAGGAGAAAAAAAGAAACATTAATCTGCTTCTCGAGAAATGTGTGTGAAAAAGTGAGAGAAAGATTTAGAAATGAAGTGAGAAAGAGAATAAAGCGAGTGAATGTGTGAGAACGAATAAAAATAAGAAATAGAGAGGGAAAAAAGTAAATGGAAAATGAAGATATGAAGAAAATGAAAAAAAAAAGAAAAGCAATAAATGGGGCCGGTCTTGCGTGGCCAACGAGTCAAAAAAAAAGTGAATCTCCTTCTTGCACGGCAAATTTTCTAATACTCCATTATTTGTATTTGTACATTGTGTAAAACTAACCAAACAAAACCTATTTCCCCGTAATTCATCACCCTATCGAAATTTACCTTTAAAATCCTATCATTTGTCTAGGATAAAAAGTAACGAAATTGTTCTCGTTTTTCAAGATTCAACGCGTGGGATTAAAAAAGATTACCCACATATATACATATATACATATATATATATTAATTTAACAAATATAAAATTGTCTTGAATCAATTTTTGTTTCGAAAGAGAGAGAGAGAGAGAGAGAGAAAGAGAACGCGTAATTATACTTTTCTCTCTTTAAACATTTCCCTTTTTCATTGATCCTCGTGTATATTTAGTTCTTTTATCGATTGTTCTCATTTTTTTGGATTGTTCATCTGAATATTTTCATTCCACTTTACGTTCGTTATTTAATCTTAGTTTAGTATAAGGTATAATAATTGTCAATTGGTGCGATGTTATCGGTGTGAAAGAACAGCTGTTGCAAGATACATACGAGTTGGCAGTTAGATCCTGTAGGTATAAAGGTAAGATCAACGACGGGCGCCCAAGAAATTCTGCACGCACTTGCATTTACTATAGTTGACAACAGCCCTTTCCAACCTCCTCTTCTTCCTCCTCCTCCTCCTCCTCCTCCCTCTTCCACCCCTATTCCTCTCGTTTTTCTTTTTACCAGACAACGACTACGACGATTACAGTCGAAAACTCGTGGAGGACGTCGACCTGACACATACGTCGGCACCTACATAAGAAGAGAACGAATGGAATGCGTTTCTTCGTCTTCTTTTGGAATCCTTCCTATACGATAATGCCAAAAGAAATTTGTCTCGAGAACTCTTAACGAACTTTTTATAATCGACTTTTATTTATTTATTTTTTTTTTTTGGTTTTTTTTATTCCGTTTCATTGAAAAAGTAATTTATCTGTAAACAAACGAACGAACAAACAAATCTATTCGTTTCGTCATAAGAGAATCTTTAACAAAATATAATATTGATATTTTCAATTAGTTGTTTCTCTCGTCTCGAAAAATAAAATTATTAATAAGTAGGTATCTTATAGGGAATTTGGACATTCAAAAGAACTAGAACTTCGTTTTGATTAAATTGGACGTTTCGTCCCTTTATTGGGACTTCTTCAGCAACTTAATCTCTAAAATTCAGCGTTTTTGTTTTTATTTAAGCAGACATTTGAAACAGTTTTGTTGAGTGTTCAAATATAACGAGTCAAGAGATAACGAAGTTTAGATGTGTATAGTGTTTTGAATATTACAAACATGTCAACTAATCAAAACGAAGTTCTAGTTCTTTTGAATGTCCAAATTCCCTAAGATACCTATTTAATAATACTGATAATTATGCAATTTAAAAATGATTGAAATGTTTCCGGTCAAAAAAAGAAAAGAAAAAAAAATCTCGATAAATAATAATAAATAAAAGGAATAAATTGCGAAAAGTCAGATTAATTGGTATAAAATATATTATACAATAATAAAAAAAAAAAAAATAAAAACGCCGAAGAGAGAAGATACATAAGATATTCATTAATAAATCGTCGAGATATATCTAAACGTTGATAAATATCAAAGTATCGATATTATCATCTCGATCGATCTAATACGATGCAAGTGAAAGGATCCGAGGAGTCATCATCATCATCATCGTTTAGCAAGCGTCAATTCATTCCACCGAGGTGCATTTAATTGACCATGAAAATGGAATGTCACGGCTAATAGATTTTCCAGATTAGGAACTTATGTA